AGATGGGTTGGATCATGTATTACAAGGGGATTCGCTACGGGACGCTTTTCTGTGGTACACTTGTCAATTGCTGGCGAAGGGGGCGTCCCCGGCAGTGGTTGACAGGTCCATGGCGGCAATGGCGTTTTGGTTCCGGTTGCGCGAGAAGGAGGATCTTACCAAGACCTTCTTCGTTAGGCAGGCATTAAAGGGATATCGGAAGGGCCGCAGGTCGCCTGACTCTAGGCGCCCGGTGTCGGTGCGGGTGTTGGGGGATCTGGTGGGTATGTTGCCTGAGGTTTGTTTCAGCGGGTTTGAGGTCTCTCTGTTCAGAGCGGCTTTTCTCTTGGCATTTTTCGGGGCGTTCCGCATAGGGGAGTTAGTGAGTGCCAATAGGGTCGTGCCCGGGGGTTTGCAGGCCTCGGGGGTTCGTATTTTGGAGGGTAAGATGGTAGTGCACCTGGGTAAATCTAAAACGGATGTCCGCGGCGTGGGTCGGGATGTAACACTATGGGCCCTACCGGGCGCAGCATTGTGCCCGGTGGCCGCGGTGGCGGAGTACATGGCTCGGAGGTCGGCGGTAGGGGGTTCTCTGTTGGTGCATGCGGATGGCTCTTCCCTTTCCCGATTCCAATTTACGAAGGTTTTTCGGTTGGGACTTGGTAAGTTGGGGCTTCAGACTGGGCGCTTTGGTACACACTCCTTTCGCATTGGGGCGGCCACGGAGGCCGCACGGTTGGGGCTGGGGGATGAGGTCGTGAAGCGAATAGGGAGATGGGAGTCGGTGCGGTTCCGGTCATATGTGCGGTTGGGTTTATTGGATTAAAAAAAACGAAAAAAACAAAACGAATGTAACGGGGGGGGGGGGGCGGGAGGGCAGAGTTTCCCTTTGCCTTCCCTCACAATTTGTTTTCTTCTCCTCCCCAGGACGGGTTGCTTGGATTGTGGGACATTCCTTTGTCTTCTGGGCCGAGAGGAGGGCCGCAGCTCGAGCACAGGGCCAGCAGCTGGGCTTTCCGAGGGACCAGTTGGCAGTCCGATGGTTTGGGTATCAGGGATTTTGCTGGGGGGAAGTTTGTGGGGCAATGTTTAGGATGGTTGCGGGTGGGAAAACACCGGACCTGGTGGTCCTTCATGCCGGGGGTAACGACTTGGGCCTCACACCGCAACGACGGTTGGTGAAGTGGATGAAGCAGGACATCAACAAATTGAGGGACCTGCTTCCGGGGGTTATGTTAGTTTGGTCGGAGATCGTCCCAAGGCGTCGGTGGCGGCACGCGCGGGATCCGGTGGCTATCAATCAGTGCAGGAAAAAAGTGAATAGCTTGATGGCAAGCTTTGTTAGGAAGGTGGGGGGAGTGGTGGTGCGACACGGCGAGTTGGAAGATGGGTTGCCGGGGTACTACCGCTCGGATGGGGTTCATCTCTCGGAGGTGGGTTGGGATCTGCTAAACTTGGGTTGGCAGGATGGTATGCAGAAGGCACTATTTCTTTGGTGTGGCGGAGCTCAGACAGCTTAAGGGGTCAAGGTCTGAGCTTGTGGCGGGATGGGGAGCTGAAGGAGAAGAAATAGGCTCCCCAGGATGAATGTAATGGAAAACAAACAAGTGGTGGTCATCGGTGGTTGATAGGTTTCGAGTCCTGTCGGTGGCTCAGAACCTGGTGGGGTAGGGGTATCCGTGTATACCCCTGCCGTGGTTAATGGATGGTTGGCACTTTAAATCGGTATTGGAATAATGTTGATGTATGTTATATATATATATGTGTGTTATTTATATGGGGGTCATTGCCCTTTATATGTTAACGGAAGGAATAGGATGCGAGGGCAGAGTATGGGGGGCAATGACCCATGTTTTACTTGTTAAGTTATTATTATTATTATCATTGTTATTATTATTGTTTGGTTAATAAAGCTGTGGACAAAATTTCCCATATCCCCTAGTGTCCGTGCGTTATTGGGTTAGGATATGGGGTGATTGTCCTGGATTCCGACTGCCCAAATGGCGTCTATACACCTGTCATGTAGCCCCATGTAGCTAGAGCGCAGCTAAGCGAAAAAAGGCCTTGACAGGGGTTAGGAGGCGGGCTTAGGAGGAAGTAAGCAAGGGAGTGGAGTTATGGGTAAGTAGGTTTGGCTATTTAAATGGGCAGCCATTTTAGGTGAGTCATTTCTAATTTCCTACCTGGTTGAGTCTGTCCCACCCACCCTCCCTGTTTTGTTACGAGTGGGGTTGTCCCGTTTTTTCACAGCGGCGGGATGGGGAGCTGAAGGAGAAGAAACAGGCTCCCCAGGATGAACGTAATGGAAAACAAACAAGTGGTGATCATCGGTGGTTGATAGGTTTCGAGTCCTGTCGGTGGCTCAGAACCTGGTGGGGTAGGGGTATCCGGGTATACCCCTGCCGTGGTTAATGGATGGTTGGCACTTTAAATTGGTATTGGAATAATGTTGATGTATGTTATATATATATATATATATATATATATATGTGTTATTTATATGGGGGTCATTGGCCTTTATATGTTAATGGAAGGAATAGGATGCGAGGGCGGAGTATGGGGGGCAATGACCCATGTTTTACTTGTTAAGTTATTATTATTATCATTGTTATTATTATTGTTTGGTTAATAAAGCTGTGGACAAAATTTCCCATGTCCCCTAGTGTCCGTGCGTTATTGGGTTAGGATATGGGGTGATTGTCCTGGATTCCGACTGCCCAAATGGCGACTATACACCTGTCAAGTTATTCTCTATTAGAATCAGTAATGACATACCCACAATGCCTGCCCAAGAAGTACTCAACCTAAGTTATACAACTTACATACCACATCACACATACTCACAAACATTTCCTCACCATATTAAATATCATATAGTGTCATATGTTTATTATGAATAAATATAGAGACAAACTGATAAATACCTACAGAACTTTGTGTTATCTCTCTCTATATATATATCCAGTGCTGTATTTAACGTGAGGCTTTAATCAAATGGAGGTTTTTAGTTACCTCCAATGGCCATGAGAGGGTATGCCCACCTGCCACATCAAGGCTGACCTCTTAGGTGGGTCCTAACCATTCACCTTGCTTCTTGAGCTTCTGGCAAATATATCTCTAATGAGACAGAAAGGGGTATTTTTTTATATACATCCCTACATGCTTTTTAACTAGGGATCGACCGATTATCAGTTTTACCGGGCGATATTAGGTATTTTCGGAGCTGCTTGCTGCCTGCCCCCCCCAGGATTACAAGCCAATTACAAGCCCGGCATTGCATTGCATTCACTATACAGACACTACATTCACTATACACACACTGTATTCACTATACACACACTGCATTCACTATACACACTCTACACACTACATTCACTATACATACACTTCATTCACGATACACACACCACACACTACATTCACTATACACACACTGCATTCACTATACACACAGTGCGTTCACTATACACACACTGCATTCACTATACACACACTGCGTTCACTATACACACACTACATTCACTATACACAAACTACACACTGCATTAACTTTACGCACACTACACACACTGCATTCACTTTACACACACTACACACACTGCATTCACGTTACACACCACACACTACATTCACTATACACACACTGCATTCACTATACACACACACACACACTGCATTCACTTTACACGCCACACACTACATTGACTATACACACACTACACAAACACACACACTCTGCATTCATTATATACACACTACACAAACACTCACTGCATTCACTATACACACTACACAAACACACCCTGCATTCAATATATACGCACTACACAAACACACACAGCTCCCCTGTCTAAACACACTGCATCCACTACACATGGCATGTATATTTTGTGCATTTACCTTTAGAAATAGTTTATTTTTTCAAAATGGTAAATGTACAGAATATCGGCTAGTTAAAAACAAAGAAAAGAAAAAGTTTAAAAAACAAAGAAAAGAAAAAGTTATCAGCTATCAGCCTGAAAGTTCACAGATTATCGGTATCGGCTCTAAAAAATCAATATCGGTTGATCCCTATTAGTAACCATTAATAGGGAATACATGGGATGGGCAGCAGCATTGTAACTTAGCTGTATGAAAAAAAAGTGAATACAAATACAAAGAAACAAGTCCTGCGCTCAAACTCCCATTACTCCTGGGCAGTAGCAACGATCATAGTACACATATACAGCCAAAATACATATAGTAAAAACCAAAGGAAAAAAGTTACCTGCGCTCTTTCCACATCCCTATGTATTTTTAAACAAATGGAGGTTTTTAGTTACCTCCAATGGCCATGGGAGGGTATGCCCTCCTGCCATGTCAAGGCAAATATCTTTAGGTAACTAAAAACCTCAATTTGTTTAAAAATACATAGGAATGTGGAAAGCGCACAGGTAACATTTTTTGGGGGGGGTCTGTCAGTGTATGTATGCGTGTTTCAGCGTGTCTGTCAGTGTGTGTATATATGTCTGTCAGTGAGTGTGTATGTGTATTTGTCAGTGAGTATATGTGTGTCTCAGTGTGTGGGTGTCTGTCAGTGAGTAAGTATGCATTTCTGTGAGTGAGTGTAACTGTGAATAAGTCAGTGTGTATGTATGTGTATAAGTATTTTTCAATGAAGGTGTGTGTTGGTTAAATAGTGTGTATGACAATGACTGTGAGGGCAGCACAAAACCAGAATACACCACTGTATCTATGTATATCTATATATCTCTTTATCTATCTCTATATAAGTCTATCTATCTAAAGAGAATTGATTAACACTGGCAGAGAAGGGATTAACACTGGGTAGTGAGATTGGCTGGCAAGGACTAGCAGGGAAGGGGTTAGCACTGGGTAGGAAGGTT